TTAGCACGCTCGCGCTGTATCATAAGGCCTGTCATTGAGTCAACTGGCGTGGTTTCGAATCTCCGGTTGTACGTGACAAGGAGTAGGGTCGCCTGTCCAACCTCATGGGTTTTCTCCGGGTCCTCCCACTGCTAAAGACCCCTATGCGCAAGTGAATTATTGAAATAAAATTAAACCATATGTTAGTCCCGAAATGACCTAGTTTGTGTCGAGTGGACGTTAAACCCCATTTCTCTCTCTCTCTCTCTAGCCATATTTAACTCCTTAGAAGAGGCTATAATGACCCACCCTTTTTTATTAATGTGTTTTGAGAGATTTAATTGCACCTGTGTTGACAATAAAATGATAGTAATTGGAATTTGTGGTTGAATTACAGCTAGGAATGTTATTTTTCACTAATAAATAGCTATTTTGTACATTTCAAAGATTTCTAAGCCTTTTTGTTTAAAGTCAAACTTAGAACCCAGAGACATGTTAGGCCAATGAGACCACACCCTAATATAAAAATGGTGTAGATGTGTAAATGTCAGCTTAATTTTCAATATTTTCTTATCAAAGTCTAGGATTCGTGGTATTTGTTGCATTTATGTTAATATTGCTCCTTCATCTTGTCAACTCTGTCATAACTACTTTTTGGACTTCAGGCAATTGATGTAAAAGGCCCAGACATCTTGCTTCAGCACAAGAATTGCAATAAAGATTTGTATGGTGCCTCTGAGCCTTGTGATGTTGAAAACATTGAAATTTTCCCAAATTTGTGAAAATTGTGTATTCTGTGACCCATTTGTTAGAGAGGGGTGATCATAGACCAAATATGGCATTTTTTTTCTTTCATCAAGGCCTATTTTTAACCATAATTCATATTTATTGCACATATTTTAGTTTATATGTACATATGTTAGCCAGGGATGGTAAAACATAGCTATTAGAGTTAGACAGATTGCTTTGGTGATGTTACTTCTGCAACCAAAGATTAGATTCATTCAGTCAGTGACATATTTAGGGGGTGGGGATACATGTTTTAGTATATATCTCTAATATTACAATCAATGCAGCTGATTTTTGATTTTTCTGTTTGTATATTGGCCAGGGTTTCTAAAAATATATCCCTTTCCCGTCAGGCTATCTAAAAAGTGGAAAATAATTGTTTGTTTTTTTGAAAGATGCTACATGTAAATTTTGTACATTTTTCATGACATGGCAGTAAAAAATTATATTTTTGAAAAGAAAATCCATCTTATGAGTGTTTTCTGTGTAATTTGTTTGTAACTTGTCTAATTTTTTCACAGAACTCAAATACTGCCTTTAATAAGAAAGATTTTTAAATTTTAGCACAAAAGGCCCATGGACCTGAGATGCACTACTGTACATAAAGCAGCATGTATACTTAAGGGGCCATCATTTTTGCAGTTATTCTTTGATTTTGATTTCCTTTCACTGGTATGTTACCAGAACATAAGGGAAACATATAAAAAAGACTTTTTGGTGATACCTGAAGTTTCACCCCTATATAGGACACAGCTCACCAAATATTTCTACGCCCATCACCCACGAATGTAGGGCGAAAGTTATTTTTAGTTGAGAGGTTGGTTAGGTTGAAATGTAGGGTCCATAATTGCATGTTTTCTTGTCTCTACTTCCAGCTTGTGTATCTCAAGTTTTCCATGGTGAACCTCATACATGCTTTAGTTTTGGGCAAGAGGTTACCACATGTTGCTCCATCTGTGGTAGAAAGTGTTCTACCCAACGAAAATTTGGGAAAAAGTTAGAGCCGGTCTAAGAGACGAGAATTAACATTAAAGTCAATGGGCATATCTTTAGTGATCTGTGGCCATATTAAGCATAAACTATGTAAGCCTACACATTATTCCCTGTATGGTGCTTAACCAAGGTGGCGAAAATATTAAATAACCTTACGGCAAGTTCCTGTGCAAAAAGCGACCAAGTTCATTTAATATGTCTACATTTTCACAAGTTAGTAACCAAATATATTTGTTCAGACTATTCAAGTTGATAAAGTTAGTATTGGATTTTTCAATAACCTCAAATAAACATTTCCTGTCTGTAGCGGAAGTGTAGGTCAGCTGTCTTGTAATGATACCTCCTTAGGCCACGTGGACCCTACCTATGGAGGTATGTTAAGATTTAACAATGATACTGTCAGTGTTTTGGATCAGGGCAATGAGATTAGTTCTCATGACGCCCCGTACGTGGCGAATATTTTATTTAACTGCAACAAAAGATAATTGAGAGGAAGTTTGTGAACTTTGCTGTGTTGCTTGTACCGCCCCATATTGAATCCGAAGAGTTTAGACAGAATCAAGAGCCCTCAGAGTTCTAAATTGAACAAACCTTTAAGTATTGTTGAATATTATAAAGCAGGGGTTTCATTAACAGCCGTCCGCCGGCGAATTTCCCCGGCTACTTGGCTCTTTGCGCCGGCTGTATTAACCCTTAACCGGTCATTGTCGACTATAGTCACCATAACGTTATACAGCTAAGTGGTCACAGTCGACTAAAGTCGACCACAGCAAGAACCTTTTTTATAAGCCGCATTTGAGTATTTAGTTTCGTATTTAATTGATATGGCAAGTGTGTCAGACAGGAACTTGTCTTGTCAAGGGCATTGAGAAAAACATGTCTTTGTTCAACATTTTTTGACGAAAAACGTAATTTAACGGTGTCGGGAACGTTAAAGACGCTCAAAGTGGTTGACATACTTATGAATTATTCCGAATCGGATTATATTGATGACACCGATTCTGAAGACGATATTTCTGATGAAAAGGATTTAGAATGATTTGCAAATTATAGATCAACTTATCCCCAGGAACTTTTTTATTGGTGTCAAGAGTCTATCACTTATAATTATTCGGCAGTAGTCGGTCGAAATAGGCATACAAAATATTTTTTTACGTCAGCCTTTATTTAGCCTGACCAGTTGACGTCATAACATCAAAATGACATCGACCGATTAAGGGTTAAGATTCCATCTGAGAATTTATTATGTCATGAAAAGTTTGTAAAATGGAGTACTTCTTTAAGTATAAATGTACTGTTATACAGAGTTTTGCTACGTAATATAAAACGGGTAGCCGTCGAGTTTACAAACTGTACGCCAAACAATAAACAGCGTCACGGTTATCGAGTTTAAAGGAGCTAAATCGCTAACATTTGGGACCTAGAAATTCACAAAAGTGGGTCGCAACGCATATAATACTGTAATATGAATGTATATAAACTGATTTACATTTAATGGTTTCCGTTTTTACTCCAATTTAAAATCAGTTATGTTCGGCGAAATAAGTCAGCAATCTCAATGGAGTGCTAATTTCTAGCGTCTAGTTATTCTAGTCTACATAACTCCATTTGATTTGGTGCAATGTGTCTAGCCTGGTCCCTCGAGTCTCTCAATACAACTGGGGCTGAAGCGCATTATGGTACACGATTCGTGTACCAATGTTAAAAAAATTATTTTATCTTAAATATCGGATATCAAAAGCTCATCTTTTCCCGGTAAGTTCACATCATCAATGTTGATTTAAGTTGACCAATAATTCGTGTTTTCGATGTCGAAGATTTTGGAGGATTTTGAGTTACGGACTTTGGTCCTTTAAAAGTACAACGTGATAATCAAGAAACAGGCGGTATTCTGTATCTCCTTTCAAAAAGAGTTATCGGTGTACCGGGTAGTTTAATATCGTGCCTTCCCTTTTTTCACCCATTCTACTCGAAATTTCTTAACCATCAATTACATTTATACTCAATATAAAAGGTACTAAATACTTTCTTTTGAAAACTGTCATTTATACCGGCTAGTTTTCACGCATTTCAGAGTTTCTAATAACCGGTATTTTAACTTCCCGTTGGTCCATGGGACCGGTTAATAATCATAACGGAAAATCATAAACCTCAACAAAATTAACTGCTACTTTATCTTTCCATTCATACCTCGTGTCAAAAATCACGTGCTGGCCATGGGGATCGAAAAGTGGTGCTATTTATAGTAACTTTTGGGCCGATTTTCACGAAATTCGAACTCAGTCGTCATTGGGGGGTAACGGTGATATAATAATACGTTTTTTTTAAATCGGATAAAAATTATGACCTCTATAGGGTCCACAAGCTAAAAACACGATTTTTCGTACAATCAGGGGCCATAATTCAGGAAGTTAGGTTCCGATATGCGCGGATATCGAAAGGAACCGAGATCTTTGGGTTATAAGCATACATTTCAAGTTAGAACCAAATCGGATAAAAATTGTGGCCTCTACAGTGTTCACAAGCTAAAAACGTGATTTTTCGTACAATCAGGGGCCATAATCCATGAAGTTACAGTCCAATACATGGACTCAGACTAGCAATTATTTGCCCATTGACTTCAATGTTAAATGACTGTAACATCACAGGCTGTAGCTTTTTGCTCAACATTCCGTTGGTTCCAATCTTTATAGGCACAATGGGGACAACATTTGGCAATCTCCTCATCATAATTTTGTAGGGGGTTGACCATTTAGATTTTTTGCTACACAGATTTGAAGTTGACAGGGGTGAAAATCTCACTTCCGACACAATGATTGCTCTGCAGAAAGACACTTTACACCCCCTATCCCTCCGCTGTAATATCATCAGTATTACCCAAAACTGCTATGAAATTGCAAATTTGATCCCTTTTCTCCAATTCTAGACCAAAAAGTCAACCCAAAAATGCAGGAAGAGGGGAGAAAAAAATTAAGGGAAAAATTGTCTATTTATAACTCGCACTACATTCGTCCATCATGAAATAAGGGGAAATAATTACTAGTCTTAGTCCATATACCTCACATGTTTCTGCAGTTTAAACAAATCTGTTGTTATCTAATAAACAAACATATATGCAATTCCCTGGCCAAAGAATATGAAAATCTATGCATTTTCAGATGAGCTGTGCGGCATTCTGCAAACACTATAATACATCAGAAAACTGCGGAATTTCAGACAGAAATTTAAAAGCACATGAATTTTGAATTAAACAGAACATTTTTATTTTTGAACATAAATGCATTCTGTAAAAAGATGAGATAAATTCAATATAAATCTAACACGAAAATACCTTAAAACAGTAATCATGATGCAATATTAGACTTTTTAACACTTTCATCGAAAACCACACAGTTTTTCTCTGTTAACGTAGTTTCAAGTGCCAAATTGTGGTCAAATCTAAAATGTTGAAACATGCAGTGCCTATCAATTTTAAAATATCTCCTATATAGCTGTATTTCCATAGGATAAGTAAGTTGAAATAATCTGATTATGTAACACTACAACAGCTTTTTCATCCCCACCCCCCAGTTTGGAATCTGATAATTTAAAAGCACATCAATTTTGAATTCCACAGAACATTTTTATTTTTGAACATAAATGCATTCTTCAAAAAGATGAGATGAATTCAATATAAATCAAACACGAAAATACTTTAAAACAGTAATCATGATGCAATATTAGACTTTTAACACTTTCATCGAAAACCACACAGTTTTTCTCTGTTAACATAGTTTCAAGTGCCAAATTGTGGTCAAATCTAAAATGTTGAAACATGCAGTGCCTATGAATTTCAAAATATCTCCTATATAGCTGTATTTCCACAGGATAAGTAAGTTGAAATAATCTGATTATGTAACACTACAACAGTTTTTTCATCCCCACCCCCCGTTATGGAATCTGATACATTGCTGACCAATCATAGGTCGCCACGTTCACTCGGGCCTGTCAAATGATTTACAATGGCACAACCGTCGATCAACACACAAGCCATTAATGTTATCTTCCAATATGAGAGGCCATGATAAACACACAAGCGTCCTTTTCAAGCTCGGAAATTAAGTCATCACCAAAAAGCAAAGTTTACAAAGGTCCTCGGGGCTGGAACCCAAACTGATTACGATTTGCCCTCCACTTCCACCACAGGTGTCATAGAGATCAGGGATGAAATTGATATGCATCATCGTTCTCCTAAAGCCAGTCCAGGAAGAGATCAGGTTTTGAGATGTAGACCTGAAATGTTAAATTTGGATGAGAATGAGAATTCTGGGGCGAATACTATCCAGGGAAATGGTCATTGACATCCAGAAAATGGTCAAAATGTGGAATTCTGTCATTCAGTTAAATGTCAAGGCGAGAAGACAGGCCTGTGCAGTACCAAATTTCCAGCCCATTACTATTAGTGAGCAGAAGTGGGGATGAGGTTAGATGTACTTCTTAAAGTGTATGAAATGCACATTTATCTCACCTGTTTTGCTTCTTTTTTTTTTAATACTTGTGTTGAGGTCAATCATTCCACTCTATGAAACATTACCTGGGCACCTGAAATGATAGGAGGCTGGGGATAAATATGCAATAAAAAACAGTGAGAAAATAAGAAAAAAATATGGTTTCAACTGAAATAGAAATAAACCTCTTTATTTCTAGCGAACAGCCCGTCACTGGCCCTCCAAAAAGAAACCAGTTAACAGTCAGTAAAAAAGTAAACCTTGAGTGTCACATAAGTCTAAGTCAATCTCAAAGGTAGATGCCATGTTTTGAGGTTCGGTCTAAATATTAAGGCCAACTGCATGTTTGATCAAAAGTCACACAGGTGTGAAGTTTGGAGTGTACATGTTAACATTTCATTGTATGATGTCAAAAACATGTTAGGTCTAAATGTTAAGGCCAGCTGCAGACTTGGGTCAAGGTCACAACATGTAAATAGGGTTAGGGCACATGATTTTTTGACACAATTGTGGGTTTGGGCTAGGATCAGGACTAGGTCTTGGCTTAGGCGTGGGCTACATGCTTTTTGACAAGATTGTGGGTTAGGGTTAGGGTCAGTCTTGTTTACATCTCGTGACTTTAGACCAAATCTGCAGTTGAGTTGGCCTTAATATTAAGACCTAACCATGTTTTGATATCATTGTGAACAAAATGTTACACATTTACAACCCAAAATTCACACTCAACCAACGGATACCCCCAATCATGGCTATTTTGATACCAAATAGTCAAAAAACTTACTGCTGGGCAATAAAAAAGCAGTATTCTTACCATTTCTGACACTTTCCATTCAAAACTTCAGGAAACAAGCCGTTGAAAAAATATCAACATCCCGAGTCGGCCATGCTTCATTATATCATCAGGACTCAGACTAGCAATTATTTGCCCATTGACTTCAATGTTAAATGACTGTAACATCACAGGCTGTAGCTTTTTGCTCAACATTCCGTTGGTTCCAATCTTTATAGGCACAATGGGGACAACATTTGGCAATCTCCTCATCATAATTTTGTAGGGGGTTGACCATTTAGATTTTTTGCTACACAGATTTGAAGTTGACAGGGGTGAAAATCTCACTTCCGACACAATGATTGCTCTGCAGAAAGACACTTTACACCCCCTATCCCTCCGCTGTAATATCATCAGTATTACCCAAAACTGCTATGAAATTGCAAATTTGATCCCTTTTCTCCAATTCTAGACCAAAGAGTCAACCCAAAAATGCAGGAAGAGGGGAGAAAAAAATTAAGGGAAAAATTGTCTATTTATAACTCGAACTACATTCGTCCATCATGAAATAAGGGGAAATAATTACTAGTCTTAGTCCACATGCCAATATCGAAAGGAACCGAGATCTTAGGGTGATAAACCTATATTTCACAATAATACAAGTAGTGTTTCATTGTGACAATGAAGCAACTGTACAGATAATATGCATGGGCAGAGCCTCTTATAGATGTTCATTAATCAATACATTTTCAAGAAAGTTAACCCTGTGTGCTATGCGTTTTGATTGTACTCTAAAGGCACAACATGTGATGGGGTGTAAGAATAAGTTAGCCGATTCCCTTTCACGTTTTGATTTTCAGAAAGTTCGACGGTTAGCACCTTTAGCAGATTAGGACCCTTGTGTAGTACCGAATACCTATCAGTAATACAGTGCTAAATTTAGAAGTAGAGGCTATTTGGGATAAAGCGTTAGCACCGTCTACTATGCAGACTTATAAATCAGGATTGACATGTTTTAAGCGTTTTCTTATGATGTATAATTATTGTTCAGATGTACGCTTATTACCAAATTTATCCGAATCAAATTTAATTCAATTTGTAGCTTTTTGCCATTCTATTATAAAGGTTACATTTTCTACCATTCAGTCTTATTTAGCAGGTATTCGTTATTTTTATCTCAGACAAGGAAGTATAATATGTCTACGGAATTTCCCAGTTAAGTTGGATAGATTAAACTATGTAAGAGCTGTCAAAAGGTCACAGGGACTAGACACACTTAACTCGAGCCAGCGGTTACCTATAACTGCAGATATTTTGTATCAAATCTGTTATTTACTAAGAAGCGGATATTTCTCCCCTCACATCGATCAGCTTATGCTGGCAGTTACGACTTTTGCATTTTTTGGATTTCTAAGGTGTGGAGAATTTACCGTTTGTGGGAATTTTGATAATTGTAGGCATTTGTGTCTAGATGATGTTAGTTTTGCAGTAGATAATTCCTCTATGAAAATCCATTTGAAGTGCTCTATAACCGATTATTTCAGAGCAGGCGTGGATATTAACATTTTTGATAATGTACGCTTTAAACCAGGTAGATGTATGGTTAATTATTTACTTTTGAGGAAACGATTTCAAGCGGGGGAAGCTTTGTTTGTTACTCCAGATTTAAAACCTTTGTCAAGATCACTGTGTATTGGTTATCTTAAACAGTTGCTTATCCGTTTGGGAATTGACAGTTCCCAGTATAGCGGGCACTCTTTTCGCGTTGGAGCAGCTACATCAGCGGCAAGACAAGGTGTCTCTGATCACTTAATTCAGAGTTTAGGGCGTTGGAAATCTTTAACTTATACCCGTTACATACACGTCTGTAAGGCGAAATTGAAGAACGCACAACATGCAATGAGTAGACAAGCTTTGTAACTGTTTTTTATCATTACTTTTCACTATTTTGGCGGTCCGATATGTGCCCTACTTATTTGGGTACATATCTGGGTTACTTGTGGGATTTTTGGTCACTTGCGGGTTGCACCGCGGAAGGGGTGAACCGAAAGTGCGTTTAAATGATATTTATGGGTTGCTGGATGAATATGGGAGAATCACCCCTCAAATATTACGGACAAAATTTAAATCGGACAAATTGAACGGACGGACAAGTTATTACCTTAAAGGAGCTAAATCGCTAACATTTGGGACCTAAAAATTGACAAAAGTGGGTCGCAACGCATATAATACTGTAATATGAATGTATATAAACTGATTTACATTCAATGGTTTCCGTTTTTACTCCAATTTCAAATCAGTTATGTTAGGCGAAATAAGCCAGCAGTCTCAAGCGAGTGCAAATTTCTAGCGTCTGGTTATTCCAGTTTACATACGCCGTTTGATTTGGTGCAACGTGTCTAGCCTCGTCCCTCGAGTCTCTTGATACAACTGGGGCTGAAGCGCATTATAGTACACGATTCGTGAACCAATGGTAAAATGTTTATTTTGTCTTAAATATTGGATATCAGAAGCCCATCTTTTCCCGGTAAGATCACAACATCAATGTTGATTTAAATTGACAAATAAATCGTGTTTTCAATGTTGAAGATTTTGGATGATATTGAGTTGGAGACTTAGCTACTTTAAGTCTCGCCTCAAAATTGTTGTTAGTTAGTTGTATTTTACGTCCGCTTCCACCGAGGTTATCTCTCTTAAACGACTTGTTGAGCAAGACTATTGGTCTATACATGCGCAGTAGAACGAAGCGTGAGTACAGCTAGTCTCAATCATTCAGACAAGTAAATTGCGTACGATAAAGACTATGGAATTCTGGGTGTCCGAGACTAGAGTACTACATACGCGTGGGGTATTTTCTCCGTCGTCATTTTAGTTAGCAGAATCAGGTGGTAGATCTACAAGAGTAAGAGTTTTGGATAAGTAGAGAGAGAGAGAGGTAATATATTTTGTTTTACGATGCATGTCTTGTTGAACATGGATCAATGTTTTTCAACTCTGATATGCCAAAGTGTGTCGTGGCCAATTCACCTCACAATAATTTTTCCTGACACTCACCATTTTGTTTGTTCGCCATTTCAAGTGAAAGTCTACTTAAAAGTTTTCTCGCACTCTATATCGTGTTTTTCTTTCTTGTTTTGCTTTTTATTGTAATATTTGGTCTAAAAGTGTTCCGCTTACACAGACAAATGCATGTCCTGCTTCAGGAGTGGGTTATTCATTCAGATTACATGTCATTTCGGTCCCGCGTCATTTCGGACTTACGTCATTTCGGACTCCAAAAATATGTCCTCGACATTTCGGACTCGGGTAGGTGACGTTTCGGACTCGGTCAGGCGACTTTTCGGACTCGGACTGGCGACATTTCCGACTCAATAAAATCTGAAAAAATCTATGTATATATTTGTAATAACTGTTTTTTCTTTCGTTTTAGGTGAGGCTGAAAACAGACCATTCACAATAATAAAGAAATTAAACATTGTTAGTTGTGTTTTATTTATCCCATACAGAATTTAAGCCCGTCGTACATTTGCCACATTTTCATTTGCCATATGAGATTTGACAAAAGCTGGCATGCATAGCTTTTCGTCAAATAAATGTGTCAAATAATTGGAACTTATGCTCGTGTACGATAGGCCGACAAATAAATTTGCCACAAATCTGCGCACGCATCTAAATCTATTGATTTCACTTTCATTTTTCGACGCACGGGCAAATTTATTTTCTGGCTTCGTACACGGTCAAAGATAATTTGAAGAGACCGTCATAGAAGTTTGTTCAATTTTCTTTGATCGTGTACGACCAGCTTTACGCACGTTATTTATCCCCTTCAGACCATACATCAATAACAACGGGATATTTATTTGATGAAATAATAGCTTCAGTCGGGTATTCATTTATCTTATAAAATATACTTTTTTTTGTTACACATTCCATTCGAAGTCACCTATTACGGTTTAAACTCCGATACTTATCTCGAGTGTTGCGTATTAATAATAACAATAAAAGAAAAATTCATTACGTACCGGAATCACAGGTACGATGTTGCCATAAATCACAAGCATCACACCGGAGGCCTTCTTGTCGTGGGCTTGGGCTATCAATAATTTCAGTTTGGTTTCAATAATCAACACCTAGGCGGGCCAAACTAACATTTGACGTAGAACAAATTGCAACAAAAGGTTTTTTGATTTCTATTGACTCATTATGATGTCCTAAGTAAGGAAAATAAAGTTTACCAAAATCGGAGTCCAAATAAGGCCAGGGGGCGTGGCCAAATCTAAGATGGCGGTTGTCCATCAAAAATTCCAAATATCTCTAAAGCTATTGGATTTAGACACCATAAATGTATTGCGGACAGATAGGAAGTCGGTATCAGCGAGTCCAAAAATTGCGACCTTATGTCTCTATGACGTCATGACGTTGCTGTGACGTCACAACGGCATACCAGACGTCACATTTCTTCCAAATTTAGTTCATTTATGCATCTTAACAGCAGAAACGAATGCTGATGCAGAGAAGAGTGTGTCCCCATTATGTTGGGTTGATAAAGAAGAACAATATGTTACAATATGGAATATTTTAGAGTGAATTTCAAATGCCGTATCATTTCGTAGATCCATTTGTTGTTAGTTGTATTTTACGTCCGCTTCCACCGAGGTGATATCGCAGACAACGTAGAACCATTTGATGATGAATTAGTTGTATTTTACGTCCGCTTCCACCGAGGTGATATCGCAGACAATGACGTGTTATGTGTACAAGGTGCATTAATTTACAATGTGATTAGTGAGAAATAATAGGATAATTAGGTTTTCATATATATGTACATAGGACAATAAACAACAGTAGGATAACATGTGCAAAGGACGAAACAGGTGCCAGTAGACATTTCACAAGCATGCGATTTGACGGAACAGACTACCTCTCTTCCGTTATTCTTGATTGTTTGAATAATATACCTAATTTGGTGGATTATGTCCTGTCTGCTTTTGGAATAGTCTGATTCGATGGATTTAATGCTACTTAGTGAGTCTGATAGGATAACGGCTTTTTGGTGTTTTTGGGTGGCAAGCCATTCTATTGCAGTTTTAATGGCCATCAATTCTGCGGTGTACACAGAGCAATGTTCTGGTATCCTTTTCTTGATGTTTAGCTTTGCTTTGGGGATGAAAATGCCGTACCCTGTTAGTCCCTGTGTATTATTTTTCGACCCATCTGTATAGATTTTAATATAGTCTGCCCATTTTGTGTCTATCAGCTCTAGTGTTAGTGCTCTAGCCTCTATGGGATTATCGTGTTTGTTTGTAACGTTGATTAGGTGCGTATTGATGATTGGATTAATTAATTGCCAGGGTGGGGTGACGGGATAAGTTTTTGTTTCTATTATTGTCCCTTTTAAACCGTGTTTATTTAAGACATCGTTTGACATTTGCCCGAATGTCATAGGACGCGTATTTTTCCTATAGCCTATTCGTTTGAATTTAAGCTGCCTTTGTTTAAATAGGCCACGTGTCAAATGAAGACGACTCAAGAAATTAGCGCATTTACCGGTAATTTGGATAATCCCGTAATACTTGATATCCCAAACTTAAGTACAGAAAGAAATACAAATGGTGCCAGTCATTTGTCGATATATTCATTATTACTATTAGCTATATATAATAATAATAACCATTTCTATACATAAAGAACAACTTTAATCGTAACTCCATTTGAAATTTACAGTGAATATGGAATTTTCCGATGACTATGCATAACACGTAGAATAGTCTATAGATCGCCCTCATTTCTCAGCCAATCAACGCTGGGAATCTTATTACCATTTACGGTTCCATGTACTACGGGTGTAGTAAATGAGGTTAAACTTCGGCGCGAAAATTGCACGGGATCATACGTGGAGTTCCTGGTGCCGTTTGGTGAGTGATTAAACTGTCAATGCAATTGTAAAATACTTTTATTAAAAAGAAAATAAACGATTGTTGTTTAAACGCCAATCAACAAATAATACGAGGCTACTTGATTACAAAAACACCGGTGAGCAATAAATATTGGTTAAATAGGAATTATAAACAACTGATGAGTAAAACTTAATTATTTTATACAATTAATGTGTGGGTGTACGATTCTACCATTAGTTCGTTCATGAGGTATTATGCACACGTTCCACATAGAGTGATGTCTTTGATCTGGCCGGCGTAAAGAAAAGATAATTACCTAATCAACATTCTTAATCCCACTAACACTCACTGCTAACACCGACGTGTAAATTAATTTATGATCCATGCTTGTATAACTTTTATAGTCGGATTGATTAATTAATGACAAATATTAACGACACTACACTTTATGTGGAAATGCGAAGTGCTCGCAGTAAAAAACACATAGCTGGACCCGTATATTATTTACATATTAAAAGTGTTTGTCCAACAAGCTCCATATTGTAAAATATTAATTAAGAGTTCAAGACTTCAAAGTTTAAAAGTTGTAGGCAATCTAAATTGGATCTTAAATTAACATGAATTACAAAACGAATTATTCCGTAGTCAATTGTTTTATTTAATTAGGGGGATTAAGGAATCCTTCAGGCGTTAAAGAATACACACGCCGGCTGTATATAGGTAATTAAGGAATAAACATTCCGAATATGCATTCGGCCACTGTGACGTCACTGGCGTCTGAGGGGATTAAGAGTGTTTTCGATAATTGGCAAAGTCGTTTTTACGGGAGGTCTATTTTTACGACCTTGAGTGAAGATAGCTGAATTAATTTCAACCAGATTGGCGTGAACTTGCCGTAAAGTAGATATAGTAATCACTGGCTACACACATTAAAAAGATTTTTCGTCCATCTTATGTGCACTTTAAAGTAGCTAAGTCTCTAACTCAATATCATCCAAAATCTTCAACATTGAAAACACGATTTATTTGTCAAATTAAATCAACATTCATGTTGTGATCTTACCGGAAAAAGATGGCCTTTTGATATCCAATATTTAAGACAAAATAAACATTTTACCATTGGTACACGAATCGTGTACCATAATGCGCTTCAGCCCCAGTTGTATCAAGAGACTCGAGGGACGAGGCTAGACACATTGCACCAAATCAAACGGCGTATGTAGACTGGAATAACCAGACGCTAGAAATTTGCACTCGCTTAAGACTGCTGGCTTATTTCGCCGAACATAATTGATTTGAAATTGGAGTAAAAACGGAAACCATTGAATGTAAATCAGTTTATATACATTCATATTACAGTATTATATGCGTTTTGTCAATTTCTAGGTCCCAAATGTTAGCAATTTAGCTCCTTTAAATTGTACGATAAACGTGATGACTTTGACTTTCCGATTGTTAACTTTCCATTTATTAGTAGTAACATTCCAATATCACCAGCTTATGGAGTGTTTGTGTCTCAGCTAATTCGTTACGCGAGAGCTTGTTCCTTTTATTCTGATTTTTTAAGTAGATCGAGGCATTTGTCATCTAAGCTTCAACTACAAGGATACTTGCGCACTAAACTTATTAAAACCTTTAAAAAGTTTTATGGACGTCATATTGATTTGATTGGTAAATATAACGTGTCTCTCTCGGCTATTATTCTAGATATATTTAATTGACACGTATACTATTACTATTCCTGATAATGTCTACTACATCGTTAATACAGTTCATCGCGTGCATTTTGCATACCGCTATTTTACCGACATTTCGCCTAATAGTTTGGATGCAGCTATGGCGGGTGTGGCGCCAGGCAGGGTAAGCTTACTCTTCCGGACACCTGTTACCACTGTTTGTCGTGTATTTTGTACACGAGGAGCAGTCCATTTGCTGATTACACTATTTTGCTTGAATACACTATTTTGCCTATAACGTTTTTTAGGACTTCGAATTCTGTCTTATGGTTTGAATTGTTCGTACTTGGTTTTATTTTATATTATATAGATCAGTGATGATACTACAGTTTGGCTATTTGTCGTATTATCGACTTGTCGTCTCGGAAGTTTAAAACTGCACAAGCGCTACAGTCTTAATCTACAAGACCCTTTCTATAACTATTCGCTAAAACACTTAGCTCATGTGAAAAAAATAGCCTATAGGTTCAAAATTAAAAGAGTTTTAGAAAATATAGACTCATAGATCTGGTTGTTTTTTTTACGTTTTATAACTTTTCATAAATCAACGTTTTTCTTTTGCACGAGTCTTATTTATATTGATCTAATCTGCTACTTATATTAATTATGTAATGAGTACAGCTGTATTTTTGTGACTTGTACAACAATGGTTTCACTAATCACTAGATTAAATACAAAAATCACCGAACAATACAGATACAGATTAAAGAATCTCGGCTTGGTTTCACTAATCAACAAAAGGTAAGTAGCGGTGTTTTGGCGATCAATTATCGTAAATAATCTAAACTTACCCATCAAAATACAGATTAAATGCAATAATCGCTGATCAGTTAAATAAAACAATAATATTGGTTTTACTTCAAGTTCAATTGCGTTTGGTCTGTATGGGATAAATAAAACACAAAAGACAAGTATTAATTTCTTTATTATTGTGATGGGCGCTGATTAGTTATAAATAAAACAAAACACAAAAGGCAAGTAATATTGGTTTTACTTCAAGTTCAATAGACTTTTGTTTATAACGCTGGTAAATATAAACAAATAAATAAATCTAGCATACAATGTAATTAATATATTGAACTGTATATCGGCCTACCACATTAAATTACCAATTGTATATTGCATTGTAAATATTATTATTCATAAATGAGTGTACCTATGACTTTTGTAATAAAACTATTTTTAAAAAAAAAAAAAAAATTGCGTATGGTCTGTATGGGATAAATAAAACACAACTAACAATGTTTAATTTCTTTATTATTGTGAATGGTCTGTTTTTAGCCTCACCTAAAACGAAAGAAAAAACAGTTATTACAAATATAAACATAGTCCGAAACGTCGCCAGTCCGAGTCCGAAAAGTCGCCTGACCGAGTCCGAAAATTCGCCGAGTAAGTCCGAAAAGTCGCCTGACTGAGTCCGAAACGACGTTTGTGTTGAGTCCGAAATGACGCGAGACCGAAATGACGTGCTACCGTCGTGTTGTCGCGTTATGAAAAGGGCGAGATTTAACCTGACCACTATCAGCCACCATAGATTTCAGCATGATTTCAGCAATGAAAAACAAGTGTAGTTGTAAATAAAATGTGGATCGAAACCCAGCGAAGTGGATTTGTACGCAATAGGTATTTGGACTAAACTGTTTGCACCCACAATGCAGCAGTCTTTTTCAAAATGGCGCCGTTTTGTTTATTATTTAAGATTTTGTAAGCTGTGATTTTGGATCTATTTAAACTTCTGTATTTTTCATACTTTAAAATTTATGGCAAAGGCGCTTAAACTGGATATAGTTTGAACTCCACGACCATTTATATTTGTGACAAGTCTATAAAAAAAACCCGTTTATTCTAACAACTACCGTTCTAGTTCTTGGAAAGCATGTCAATACATGAAAATTCGGCGGTGACATTGAAGCAGGCGCTTGATTTTGATTTTAAAATGACTCCCTAAATTTCATAAACGAAGGCTTGCTGGGAAAATATTCACTTTATTTAACAGGTCAGTCAAAGAATTTACTACACACGTGGTTGTTCCTGTAGCTGTGAGGGAAGATAGTACCAATGCCATGGCAATGGCCCGTATGTTAATTGTCGTCAACATTGAACCCATCATTCATATCTCATGGCGGCAGTTCTGGAACTGTTGCTATTCAGTGAATAAAATAATTTAGCAGGAATTAAAAGACGTTTATATCTTTCTGCAAATTTTATTACAAATGACAAGTGTCTTATAGAGTATGTAGTCTTTGGTGAATGTTGTACTACGCAGCTACCATTCCTTGGTATGGATGACAGATATGATACAGTTTATCACTTCCGTTTTGGTCAAGTCCTAGCACCTAATGATCGTTATTTACTATATAGGCCTTCTGTCTTATAATCAGTTTTTTAGACACAGAACTTTTGTTTTGTTTTTATATGTTATTATAGTTAGCCTATTATTAATAGATACAAACGGCTAGGACAAACATAAATTATTAAACATACTTACAAACCTGCATCTATTACATGTATAAGCTTACTCATTTCTATCAACAAACATGTACTTTACATGTGAAATTTGGAACTATTTGGCCGCGGTTAATTAATTGTCAGTTTCTCATGACCTGAGTTTGTGAAATATACATGCTACATGCATTAATTATTAATTATTGAGATGAAATTTAATTTTTTTTAGTTTAATGCTGTTTCTATTTCAGCAATAACTAATGTCAGTTACTTGGTCGTTGAAAACCCAACGGTAACCAGTGTCCGCAATTTATTCACATTTATTAAATATTTATAGAGAGAGAGAGAAATGGGGTTTAACGTCCACTCGACACAAACTAGGTCATTTTGGGACTAACATATGGTTTAATTTTATTTAAATAATTCGCTTGCGCATAGGGGTCTTTAGCAGTCGGAGGAAACAGGAGGACCCGGAGAAAACCCACGAGGTTGGACAGGCAACCCTACTCCTTGTCACGTACAACCGGGGAATCAAAACCACGGCAGTTGACTCAATGACAGGCCTTATGATACAGCACGCACATGCTAACCATTCGGCCACCCCCCTCCCCCTCTTCAGAAACAACCTTTTCTATTGTTCTCTTTGAGGTTGATTTTGACCGGCTTCTACTTCTATCTTTTGACGTTGGTGTGGCGGGAGGGGGCATTGTATTTTTATTTTTGGCCGAGTTCTTCTCTGCTTGAGAAGGTTTCCCTTTCGTACTTTTCGGTGTTATTAGGGTTTCACACTGCGTAGCTTGTGTGAAACACTATTGTTTTTGTTAAGATTATTCTTATTATTATTATGATACAGCGTGCGCACTATCTAACCATTCAGCCATCCAACCCCCCTAAATATTTATAGATTAAAATATCTGTTGCACAATATAGCTGGGCATCGGAAGACTTGATCATAATAAATAAGTTTAAATTATTAGTGATATGCTTCTAAGTTTGACAGGTTACGAAATGACTTGTTTCAAACTGGTTGATGATTTGTTCTGATATAAATAATTAAAAGCATACCCTTGGATTTTTAAATACAAAATAAGTTAGATTATTTAACAGGTCAGTCAAAGAATTTACTACACATGTTGTCGTTCCTCTAGCTGTGAGGGAAGATAGTACCAATGTCATGGCAATGGCCCGTATGTTAAATGTCGTCAACTTTGAACCCATCATATCTCATGGCGGCAGTTCTGGGACCGTTGCTATTCAGTAAATGAAATAATTTAGCAGGAATTAAAAGACGTTTATATCTTTCTGCAAATTTTATTACAAATGACAAGTGTCTTATAGAGTATGTAGTCTTTGGTGAATGTTGTAGCTACCATTCCTTGGTATGGATGACAGATAGGATACAGTTTATCACTTCCGTTTTGGTCAAGTCCTAGCACCTAGCACCTAATGATCGTTATTTACTATATAGGCCTACTGTCTTATAATCAGTTTTTTAGACACAGAACTTTTGTTTTGTTTTTATATGTTATTATAGTTAGCCTATTATTAATAGATACAAACGGCTAGGACAAACATTCTAGTGGATTTTAATGCGTCAATTCAGTGTTCATATTTAAAGGCAAACAGATATAGTTTTAAAGGACAAATTTTGAACGTCACTAATTTTGACCAAATAATTATGGAAGTGCGTATTTATTACGGATGGAAACGGACATGCGGGCGGGTCATAAGAAACAAACCATTAATTAACCACGGCCTTACTTTAATGATTTACATACTGGTAATATAAGTGCAGACTCATCCAAATAACTATTTATTTAAAGCAAATCACAAACATGTACCATTAGGTATCTAAGCATATCCCAATATATGGAGGGGGGTCTTATCTCACTACACCGGTACCGTGGTTAACATTTTGTATTAGTTGGTAATGTTTGCAACAAGTGTTTCACTTTAACCCCAAATCATTTTGTTATCCCTATAGGCGGAGGACTGGGAAGTTCTAACTAGCTTAGTTTTCAAAAGTCGTTGCAACTCACCGCTGTGGAAAGTTTTAATATTTATTTCTCGAGAAATAACCCTAATGTATTGTAAACAAAACCTGCCACACTCCAATTTATGTGCCAGAAACGTTTTAAACAAATAATCTAAACGACAGCATTTTTTGTCCTCGCAATAATAAAAGTAGTGAGACGGCGAGCTTTCAGCCAATGAAAATCTAGTAAATAGCGAATAACAGTAAATACACGTGACCTTTTAGGAGAATTTAATAGATCAATGTCGTTGTTTTGCTATAATATAATTAGGTCGATTTTTTTTAGCCAAACTCGTTGTAAATCATATTTCTAATGAAAAGAAAGTGCGCACTATTAATACTGGTATTTACCGGTGTCGGCTAAAATGTAATAAGTGCATAAATGTGAAAGATTTAGGTCAGCGATGACTCATAGTCATTGGGTAGAGTGTCCAACTGACAGCTGTTTACCACTTGGCGATTATGTCACATGTGCCGTGTTTTCGGACCCTCCACCCCATCAGACGGAAATTTTTCCCCGATGCCAGACAAGCTTTACCCCTCTTACCCCCGTGAAGCCGCTGTCGGTAATACCTGACGGGCTTGTCCTCTCTCAACAAATTTTAAGCTGTTTGTAGCCTGTGTAAATGTGATGAATCAATTTATTATTCTTAAGAAAGTAGGCCTACACGACACTGTGGAATTAATTTTTGCATGCATCGTGTTTAAAGTCCCACCACAGCTCCGAGTATTAAGATAATTTGAGAAGGGTTGGAAATGTTGTTTGATAGCAATGATATAGGCCTATATATAATCGAATATAAATATAGATAATTGCCAAATATCAAAATCAATCAAGGTGTGTGAAGCTATATTTTATTAGAGGCTCTCTTCCTACGTAGTCTTTGGTTGTGTAGACATACATACTTTGCATTGTCGAGTTCACCCTAATATTAACTGGTTAGAATAGATCCCCTAAGCCCACCCTTCCTCATCTCTAATAAAGTCGACACTATAGCATCCAAATAATATAACTATGCATAAATCAAAGGCAAGGCCCAGCACTCCCCCCCCCCCCCCTCATACACTGCTTAATCCCCGAACCCTCCATATAAGGTTGGAAATACCTTTTAATATCAATATACCCACAAAAGCACCCCTAATAAGGTTTGACAATGTAATAACATTTAACTGATGTTTTGTGGACAGTTATTTGTGTTTGCTAAATTATGACTTTTTGAAATTAATGCATAGGTATAATACAGGTTGTGTTCTAACAACTGGCTAAAATGTCCCTTGTTTGTCCATTCCCCTATTTTAAAAAATATATATAGACTACTTGGTCTTGCTCAAAGGAGTTTTAAAAATAAATTATTTTTTTTAACATTATTTATTAAAGATAATTGGATTATAGAGCAGGCAACCCCACTCACCCAAAAAAAAAAAAATAAAAAAAAATACAAACAGATATAAATATTACAATCAAAACATAATGAAATTACAATAATAAATCAAATACATAAATAAACACATATATATATTACATACACTCACACACACATGTACACACTACACATACACTAATTCATTGATAATTAACATCAAACAACTGAGAAAAAATGTACCATAATAGACTAAAATAAATATGTATGCTGCACATGTCTGATATATAAAGAAATAGTTAAGATTTTTAATACGTATGTAGTACAAAATTTAAACATTAAAGTAGCTAAGTCTCTAACTCAATATCATCCAAAATCTTCAACATTGAAAACACGATTTATTTGTCAAATTAAATCAACATTCATGTTGTGATCTTACCGGAAAAAGATGGGCTTTTGATATCCAATATTTAAGACAAAATAAACATTTTACCATTTGTACACGAATCGTGTACCATAATGCGCTTCAGCCCCAGTTGTATCAAGAGACTTGAGGGACGAGGCTAGACGCATTGCACCAAATCAAACGGCGTATATAGACTGGAATAACCAGACGCTAGAAATTTGCACTCGCTTGAGACTGCTGGCTTATTTCGCCGAACATAGATGATTTGAAATTGGAGTAAAAACGGAAACCATTGAATGTAAATCAGTTTATATACATTCATACTACAGTATTATATGCGTTGCGACCCACTTTTGTCAATTTCTAGGTCTCAAGTGTTAGCGATTTAGCTCCTTTAAATATTACTGTAATGACTTTAATTGACAAAAGTTCTGATTTTAATGAAAATGAATATGGAAAAAAACAGTATGTACAAGCTCTGTTGATAAGATATGAATTTATAGGCTTGAATCAGCATACAATAAGTATGTAAAAAAATATATACAAAGTCATTTTAAAATTTAATAAAACATGTTGATTTTGATTTTATAATTATACTAAATCATTCATGGACTAAAGTGTACAAAATATGCATAATGAATTTGTTATGGTTAATATATGTTATAGCGAGTTCAATGATAGGTTCAATATTAACAAAGATTACATGAATTGTAAAACTGTTCAAAATTTAAACTCGACTAATGATACAG